AGTGTGTTCATAAATATTTAGTGCGTTTTATAAATATTTAGTGTGTTCATAAATATTTAGTGCGTTTTATAAATATTTAGTGTGTTCATAAATATTTAGTGTGTTTTATAAATACTTAGTGTGTACATAAATATTTAGTGTGTTTCATAAATATTTAGTTTGTTTTATAAATATTTAGTGTGTTCGTAAATATTTAGTGTGTTTCATAAATATTTTTTTTCATAAATATTAAGTGCGTTTCATAAATATTATTTTTCACAAATATTTAGAGCGTTTTATAAATATTTAGTGTGTTCATAAATATTTAGTGCGTTTTATAAATATTTAGTGTGTTCATAAATATTTAGTGCGTTTTATAAATATTTTGTGTGTTCATAAATATTTAGTGCGTTTTATAAATATTTAGTGTGTTCATAAATATTTAGTGTGTTTCATAAATATTTAGTTTTTTTTATAAATATTTAGTGTGTTCAGAAATATTTAGTGTGTTTCATAAATATTTAGTGTGTTTCATAAATATTTTTTTTCATAAATATTTAGTGCGTTTCAAAAATATTTAGTTTGTTTTATAAATATTTAGTGTGTTCATAAATATTTAGTGTGTTTCATATTTTTTCATAAATATTAAGTGCGTTTCAAAAATTTTTTTTTAAATAAATATTTAGTGTGTTTTATAAAAATTTAGTTTCATAAATATTTAGTTTGTTTCATAAATATTTAATTTGTTTCATAAATATTTAGTGTGTTTTATAAAAATTTAGTTTGTTTCATAAATATTTAGTGTGTTTCATAAATATTTAGTGTGTTTCAAAAATAATTAGTTTGTTTCATAAATATTTAGTTTGTTTCATAAATATTTAGTTTGTTTTATAAATATTTAGTGTGTTTCATAAATATTTAGTGTGTTTCATAAATATTTTTTTTAATAAATATTTAGTGCATTTCATAAATATATTTTTTTTCATAAATATTTAGTGTGTTTTATAAAAATGTTGTTTGTTTCATAAGAATTTAGTGTGTTTCATAAATATTTAGTTTGTTTCATAAATGTTAAGTGCGTTTCATAAATATTATTTTTTCATAAATATTTAGTGTGTTTCAAAAATATTAAATTTGTTTCATAAATATTTAGTGTGTTTTATAAAAATTTTGTTTGTTTCATAAATATTTAGTGTTTCATAAATATTTAGTTTGTTTTGTAAATATTTAGAGTGTTTTATAAATATCTAGTGTGTTTCATAAATATTTAGAGTGTTTCATAAATATCTAGTGTGTTTCATAAATATTTAGAGTGTTTCATAAATATCTAGTGTGTTTCATAAATATTTAGTTTCATAAATATTCAATTGATGNAAAGGGCCCGGCACCCCGTACTCCCGGAGAACCCCCCACAGGGCCCCCCGAGGGACACGGTTGAATGCCTTCTCCAAGTCCACAAAGCACTTGTAGACTGGTTGGGCGAACTCCCATGCACCCTCCAGGACCCTGCTGAGGATGTAGAGCTGGTCCAGCATTCCACAACCACGACAAAAACCAAACTGCTCTTCCTAAATCCGAGGTTCGACTATCCGACGGACCCTCCTCTCCAGCACCCCCGAATAGACCTTTCTCCGGGAGGCTTAAGAGTGTGACTCCCCTGTAATTGGAGCACACCTTCCGGTCCCCCTTTTTGAATAGGGGGACCACCACCCCAGTCTGCCAATCCAGGGGAACTGCCCCTGATTTCCATACAATGTTGCAGCCAACACAACCCTACAACATCCAGGACCTTTAGGAACTCCGGGCGGATCTCATCCACCCCCAGGGCCCTACCACCGAGGAGCCTTTTAACCACCTCAGCGACCTCGCCCACAGAGATTGGAGAGCCCAGTCCTGAGTCCCCAGGCCTAGCTTCCTCAATGGAAGGCATGTTGGTGGGATTGAGGAGGTCTACGAAGTATTCTGCCCGCCGACCCACAACATCCCGAACTGAGGTCAGCAGCTCACCATCCCCACTATAAACAGTGTTGGTGCTGCACGGCTTCCCCCTCCTGAGACGCCGGATGGCAGACCAGAATCGCTTTGGAGCTGTACGGAAGTCTTTCTCCATGGCCTCTCCAAACTCCTCCCACACCCGAGTTTTTGCCTAAGCAACCACCCAAGCCGCATGCCTGGCAGGCCCACATGTTTGGGTCTGCCAGGCACCACCAGGTAGTGGTCAGTGGAAAGCTCCGCACATCTCTTCACCCGAGTGTCCAAGACATATGGCCGCCAGTCCGATGAAACGATGACAAAGTCGATCATCGAGCTGTGGCCTAGGGTGTCCTGGTGTCTAGAGCACATATGGACACCCTTATGCTTGAACATGGTGTTCGTTATGGACAATC